ATGGGAGATTGCATTTTGTGTGCTGTGATGATTCTTATGGAAGGAATGTAAATTGAGTTACAAAAAAAAAAGTTTCAGGAATAAAATATATCTATTTAATGACTGCAGTAGGATATGTAGCCCCAGTTAGGTGCTACTTTATAGGATGCGTAAAGTTAGACTTGTGCTCATGGAAATGTGTGTGTCACATGTGTTTGCTAGGAGGGTATTTGGATTGATGAGGGTCTTTGGTGATTCAATAAAATGTGGGGGGAAAATGGTATAGAAATAGATAACAGAGACAGTGTGGGAGGAGAACAGGAGGTGGCAGAGGGTAAGAGAGGGAACCAAGGATGGGGGCGAAAAAGCAAAACATACAGAAAACAAGAAATGGAAGATCATTTGCTGACAATAACATGTTTGTTGATGTGCTTGATTGAGACAATATACAGTGTACTCTGGATGGAAAATCTCATTTTGTATGCTGTAATGATGTACAGTGAATGAATGCAAATAAATAAATTGAAATAAAAAAAGAATATATTCTGAATTTATAAAAGAGTTCCTTTTTTAACAAGTTGTATTTAAACTTTCATTCTAGAGGGTGCTGCTAGGTGTTAAAAGAAGAAGCACTCTGCTCCACACATAACAGTCAGCAAGCTGGTGTAGTTAAAACAAAAGCATTACATACTGGAACCAGCAGATGACATAATGGTTATGTCACTGGACTCCCACATAGCTGACCACAGCTAAAATCACAGACCCAGTAGCTTAAAACTCATGCCAAGTGCGTGTACGTGCATGCCCAAAATCCCAAAAGGAGAATGGCGAAGGGATTGTGGCATGGCCATCCCCTCTCGAGGGGAGGGCAGATTTCTTGCTTTCTGTCTCTGTCTCTCTCTGGCAAAGGTACACACCCTATAGCAAAAATTTCTCCCTAAAAAAAAGTACTACATACTAAAACCTAATATATTTTTAAATGTTCTAGCCCAATATTATAAATGCAAAATTTCACTTATTGTTAATAAATAGTAATGTTAATATATATTAAACCTAGCAAAGTTGTATGAAACAATGTTTTAAATATATTAAATGTCTATGCATAGAAGTTTTTTTAATATACTTTTAAGAAAGCTGATTTAGAAAGTCCAATTTTCTTAAGTATTTATGATCTGTGGAAAGGAAGATAATACTATTTATTCACTAAGACACTATCAACTAAGTATGCAGTTTTAAGATTTCTGGGGGTTTAGAGGTGATAGGCCATGAGTCGCCTAAACTGTCTTTGTTTCCCAATCACTAAAGAAAAAAAATTAGTCAAGAATAAGGAAGTAATCTGTGTCCACAAAAGTGATCCCCACAAGACATCACTTTCTTAGCAACTACATCTCCCCTTAAAGGATTCTAATCAAACTACTCACTGAAGGAGAAGAACAATGTGGAAAAAATTGTGTGTTAAAGAAGTAGAGAATGTTTTAGGATACCTCAAGTAAAGGAGTAGGGTGGAGGTCAGTGGATAGAAAATCACTAATAGGAAACATCAGGAATGGGTGATTTCTGGTTAAACAGACTTAAGAGGATTCCACCTGAAGGCAGGTCAGGGTGATAATATACTGCATGGAAGCTGGTGGAGGACGAGATATTTGATCAAATATTGAGAGTGATCAGATACCAAAGGTATGGGGTTTTCTCTGACTGACTTGGCAAGATTCTAGCTAAAACTGGATAATGCATGTTTGGCAATAACGGCACTAGCAAAGCCTAATGGAGAAAAGGACCTAGAGGAATCTGATTAAGGTTTGGTTAAAAAAAACAGTCTGTGTTAGTCCCTCTCACTGTTTAAGAAGAGATGATTTTTCTTTTGAACAAGTCCATTTCATATTCAGTTGCTTTTTGTTCATTAAGTACCAGCTAAACCATTTATTGAGACCTGCTAGTAGAGCATATTTACTAGATGGTGCAAGCACTGAGGCATTGAATGAAGGGGATTTCTATAAGAATAAACAGGAAAACAGAGATTAATGGCTGGAATGAACTATAAATCCAATTTCCAGTTCAAAGGGCGGTGGTTGAAAAGATTTCTAGAAGTTACGCTCCAAACAACTTCTGCAGTTTGAATTTTTGGTGATGGCGTTGAGTGTTTCAGGGAACTCTCTGGGTAGCTCACAAAGCCACAGGCTTGAAGGCTGCCCAAATAAACTGGCTGTAGTGATTTCTTCTAAGTTTATAGCAGGTTGTCCAGCTTGGTCCTCTGGAGTTTCAGAAAAAGGATAGCTTTAGTTTTTCAGTGATGCTAAATCAGGAAGGTTGGGGAAAAATTGGAAAAAATAATTTGGGAAATTGTAGCAAGCTATGAGAGGAAACTTGAAGAATGATAAGATGTGTAAGATGGCAGAATCCAGTCAGTTTACAAGTTGATAAGAAAAAACTCAAACAAAATGAAATGAACTTAAATGTGATAGCCCACAAGGGTACACTGTAGTTTTTTACTGAAACATAAATTTTCTCTCTATGGTTTTAAATACATTAAATTGCTATGCATAAAAGTTTTTAAATATACTTTTAAGAAAGCTGATTCATAAAATCAGCTCCCTTTTTGATCCTTGTTCAAAATTAAATCTGATCTCCTTAGATTTGGCCTGAATACTTACATAATCACAAGAATGATAACTGACCACTTAGGCCCTTTTGAGTTTGTTTTGTTGCAATTTTTCATGAATAATTTCAATTAGACTTTTGAAAGCCTCCTAAGACTTAGAAAATGTCCAAATATTTACCAACACATTTTCCCTGTAATAGCTATAGATCTGGGTCAATCTCTCTCTTCCTGGGGTTCCTAAAATATCTTAAGTTTCCTGGACCTGACAGGAAGTGACTTTCCTTACTCACCTGTAAGGGTAGAAACCCTGTAAGTCAAGAACGAGGTCACTGGATTGATAAAATCACCCTTAGTGCCTTAAAACTATGTGGCCATACCTAATCTGATGCATTATCCACAAACATGGCATTTCAATCATAGCCTTGGTTATAAACTTATTATTCCAATGACTTCTGTTAAAAGGAAGACAGATTCTTATTGAAATCACAGTTATTTTGTCATGAAAATAAGAATATTTGATAAAAGTTTCTAAATTCTGGATGAATCAGGTACAGAGAAAAAAAAAATATTTTTTTAAAGAGAGGTTTTTGCTATAGAGCATGTGCGCTCGCCAGAAACACAGAGAGACAGAGAGATAGAAAGTGAGAAATCAACCCCCTGGGGGGATGGCCACACCTCAATCCCTTCTCCATTCTCTTCTCGAGATCTTGGGTACGCACACGCACACACCTGGCATGAGTTTAAGCCACCAGGTCCAGGACACGAACTGCAG